AACCATCTTTGTGGACACAGGAATTCCAAATGCCCTTTCCTCTTCAATCCATATCTTCAATTCCCTCTCTAAATCTGGCCATTTTGCTGACTTGCCTCTCATGGCCTTCTTCTGCCGTGGCATTTTCAGTAGGGTTTCTTCTTCCCGTAGCCAGTCTCGGATTGTTTTTTCAGTTGGAGGGGGACGAAACTTATGTTCAGCAGCACAATTTCCATTCACTTTTGCAAACTGGATCACTTTTAACTTGAATTCAGCACTGTATGAAAACCTTTTCTGAGCCATTTCTGGGCAGAACATGGCAAAACGTAACCTACCGTAATATACCGGTAACAATTGCGAAACAATGAACGCAAAGACAACAAGCGGGAAATGCAAGTAAAAAACCTACAACCACTGTATAAGACGCACCCAGTTTTTAGACCCCAAATTTTTTGCAAAAGGGTGAGTCTTATGCATGGGGAAATACGATACTTGCCCACCTTGAGGCCATTGTCCCTTAGCACTAGCCAGTCTCCTTGTGATGTAATGCATGAGACATGCAACAACTAGCCAGGCTGGCTCATGCTCGTGTCATATATATGAAATGCTTGCCTGCCTGGTATGGTTCTATCACTCTAACAACAAAGTAACGTAACTACAGAAACTCAAGTCCAAGATATAACAACCACTTCCGTGACAATTCCAGAGACTTCTGTCCCACACAGCCCCACTGGAGTGGCTGTGAATGCCATTTGAGTATGGGGAAAAGGCTCCTAGACAGGAATGCCCTGTGGAGTAATGTCAGGAAAGCTTCTAATGCTGGTACATGAGTCTTCCAATTACATGAGAGGTGTTTGAGAGTCAAAACACTTGTGACATTCACCCCTGGAGACTCAGATCTAATTCCAGGGAGTATGAGAAAGATTACAGCAATAACCCCAAGGCCTCATTACCCGAGACAGCAATTTATGAGTATAGCTTCACTTGGTGGACTCTGGCACTACACAAAATAAACCATCATTTGCTTTATAGCAAAGAGGGAACATGATTTATAATAGTGGTTTATGACAGTGTACTTTTTTCTGTAAAGTTTACCTTATTGTTATGAGAAAATACATAGAGAGCCAAGGGCTTTTCACGTTCATTTATGAATTTTATGGCTTCATCTGCATTCTTTACAGGCACTATTGGAAGAATTGGTCCAAAAATTTCTTCTTGCATCACCTTGCTTTCAGGATCAACATCAGTAAGTACTGTTGGGGCTGAAAAGGAAAGAGCAAAATGAAAATGCTACAGAAGACATAAATGTAAAACTCTCATTTGACATTTGTTTCATACGCTAACCTATCCATCCCTTCTAGTCCCACCCAAGTATTACCTATTGAAAAGAAAAGTTTTGAGTACGTAGATGAACTGTGCAAAGTCAGTAACTATTTCCAAACACATGCATCAGGGGCTACTCATGCAAACCGAGGGAAAGATATATACCTGGATATAACCTATTCATATTTAACCCCGTTCATAGCCATATTCATATCCACATTCATAATAGAAGGTTACGGTTACAGCTTTCTGGGAGCGTAGACAGCCCCTGCGGATCAAATCAACACCACTTAATTCAAGTGTTTTCTTGCATATTATCTCACTGAGCTTTATTTTCACTCTGTTAGACAGACTAAGAAAACATATTTAAGTTGCCCAGGGGAGCAAATAAGGATAGGGTGCAAAAAAGGAGAGCAACATGGACATTGAAGAAGCTTTGCAGACTGTCCCAGCATCCATGCCAAGTAAGTCACCATGTAACAATACTCAGAAAGACCCTGTAAACAAGCTGGATCATCAACTAAAGGGCAAGACACCTGACAATAACAAGTTTTCTCTTTTCCTTTAGCCCTCGTTTCCTACTAGGTTCTCTTGGCAACGTGGTGGGCAGCTCTTGCCAGCACGTTCCAGGGGTATATAAGCTGCTACCCAAACCTGCCACTTCCCTGGGTCAGAGAACCGATTTGGTTTGGGTGTCCACCCTCCTCTGCATAGCCGTGTGCTCAAGTAAGGGAAACCTGACTCCCGGTCAGGAGAAAAGTTCTTAAACAGTCTGAGCTAATCACGACAGACCTTTCCTCTCGTCACTGACTAGCCTAGAGGTCAACATGCTAGGATGGGAGAACAGAAAGAGCACAGAATGGGGTTTTGAGGGTGTTACTGAACCACTGCATTAACAGGATAGGAGCACCTTGGGGCTGCTCATTCTCAGAGAACATATTTTTCATTGTTGTTTAAGTCCTGTAAGTATTTTTTAAGTGGGGTATTTTGGTAATATGCAGCATCCTAGCCAATTAGAGACAAGTAAAGCTAGTTGGGGAAGCTTTTTTGCCAACTTAATGTATAATTCTTCTGTTATCATATATGTTACTTTAGAAAAATGTTTAAAATTCAAACTCATACATATTCATGCACAGAATAAAAAACACAAAAAGAAAGTAAACAAGTAAAAAGGTCAAGCATGATAGATCAAAACATTATTTCTGCAACAGTGCTGCTAGCTGTAGAATTATGGTTAAGCCACCTCTTTGTTTTTCCAGCCATAACTGGAAATAATTAGGCAGAGCTCTATTCTGCTACTCAGGGTAGTTAGGAAGAAAAAAAGTTAGATGAAATATGTGTGAATACAAAAAAACTAGTGCAACACAGGTGGTATTATTCAACATGTGCATATACATGATCATCTTTAAATAGTTTATAACAAAAATGGTCTAACAGAAAGCAGTATTTATTAGTTTATTAAACACTACTTATCTGTTTATTTAGTGCGAGTAAAATATCAGTGGAAACTGTCAAAATGACATCTCCCCATAAGAAAAGGTGAAGAACTTCCATTACCTATGTAGCGGGTGGCCTCATCAGTCTCCCCGCCAAAAGCTATCTTTTGTCCTTCAAGCAAACTTAGTATCCTCTTAAAATGACGAAGGTTGATGATCCTTTCATAATCAGGGGATTGTTTTATATTTTCTCCATAAAATTCCTATTTAAAACAATAATATTTGTCACAAAAGGCCCATATTTCAATTTCTTTCATAACTACAAAGTCCACTCATGCCTCCAAATTGATCTGGTTTCATATCATCACAACCCACCCCACCAAGTACTTTAATAGTACAGACTGTTCCCAACTTAATGAGGGGTCAACTTATGATTTTTTAACTTTACGATGGTGCAAAAGCAATATGCATTCAGTAGAAACAGTACCTTGAATTTTCATCTTTTCCTGGGTTAGCAATATATGGTATGATATTTTCTTGTGAAGCTGGGCAGTGGCAGCAAGATGATTTGGCCCAACAATAGGCTAATATAAGTGTTCTAGGCACAATTAAGGTAGGGTAGACTAAGTTATGATATTTGTAGGTTAGGTATATTAAATGAATTTTGACTTACGATATTTTCAACTTACAATGGGCTTATCAGGATGTAACCCCATTGTAAGTCGAGGAGAATCTGCAGTGTAACAGTAGTAAGTTTAAGGGTTTTGGCAGGTCAAGCCAAGAATTAAAGCACGCACACAGATCTATCATTTTCTATGGTTTCGGAGGGTCATATGGACCTCTTGCAGTCTACCCATGGGTTCTCCCGGGGTAAATGCAGGAGCAGGTGTAGGGGGAGGTCATGCTGTGTTAAGGCCACACTTGTTTACCTATCAGTTGTGGCTGCTCTCCTCCTGCAATGAGTTGTAGCTGCAGCAGAGACTCTATGGCCAGCAAAGCCTAAAATATGTACTATCTAGCCCTTTGCTGAGCTTCATGCTATTTTATTGTTTTGTATCGTCTCTGTACTGGTATTTCCACCAGTCATAGATGACAGGGAAAACCACTCAAAAGATTAAAATACAGTTTTGGTAAATTAAACAAGGTAAAAGAACCTCAAAAACCATTGTATTTGTTATGTAAAACAAACGCAAAATTACTGAATTGCTCCATCACGTCAAAGCCTTGTGAAAGCTCTCAACTTACTCTCAAATTAAAATGAGCATTATTCACCCACCCTCCATAAACAGCCTCAAGTTTGGGTGGTGAGAATCATCCAGGCAGCTTACTAAAATGCATGTTCCTGGGTCCCAACCCTGGAGCCACCAATCGTGGTTTCCAATGCTCATTGCATCTTAGAATCACCTGGAGACCCCAGGCCAACTGAATCACCATCTGGACAGTAAGAACTGGGAACTGTTCTTAAATGGCTCCCAATGAACCTCGGTTGAGAACCACTGTATTAAGAGTATAAACGCCTCAAAGGAAAGTGGTGGGAAGAAAAAAGGGAGGAAAGGGAAGGAGGGATGGAAGGATGGAAGGAAGGAAGGAAGGAAGGAGAGAAAAAAAAAAAAAGGCGGTGGGGCTCTTATTCCTTTGAAACTGAGTTCAATACCACACTCAACTGAGCATGTCTTCAATTCCCAAGTATTTTCCATCTCACCGGGATCTTTAACCCCTTTCTCTGCTGTTCCATATTCCCTGAGTCTGGACAATTCTCCTTTCATGTTCTCCTTGTCTGGCTCCATCGTCAGTCCCATCACTTATGCCCAAGACCCTCGGCAGCTCAGGCCCAGAGTTACTCTTCCTGGAGCCCTGTACTTCCCTAAAATTCCAGGTATAGTTTCCATTCTCTGATCATAATCAATACTCTTCAGTGTTCTTGATCCTTTCTTTCAAGTGCTCAATTAGCATCTGTTAGGTGAACAATGACTGTTCTAATAATTTCTTCCACCCCGGAGCTTAATGACCCCTTCCCACTGGTGAATTCAGTCACACCGGTTCGTCCCATTCCTTTCTTCCAATCTAAATCATCCATTTCTTCAAGGCTTAGCTCAGGGCACTACCATACAGCCTTCCTTGATTCCCTCGGTAAAGATCTTTAAACACCCTGGAAAATTGAAAACCATGTCAAGAGTGTACTATAAGTATGTATTTAACTCACTCCTCCAAACTACTGGCTTTCCTAAAACCCTGACATACACAAGAGCTGATAACCTTAACTAGCAATGCCAATATGGCCAAGGGCCTCTGACTGGACTTCAAAGGACTGGCAACATTCTCTCAAAACCACAAAACAGTTATTTATTTTAAAGCCTGTGCCTCAACTAATGTTGTTTCATCAACAAATTAGAGAGTTTAAGTGAGTTTAACTCCAACCTAACCTTGCTCCCAGCACACATTCTATGAAAGGTGCACAGAGCACTTTTAATTAGCCAGTAACTTACTTTGGTCACATATACTACTGGAGTTTTTCCTGGGGAAAGGAGGGAATAAGGATGCTGCCTGCAAACAACTGTTTTCACTCGTTATCATAATGAAACCAATGGAATCAGATGTGTTCAACACAAACCTTCACAGTTTCCTTAATCTTCTGTACGATTTGATTCTGGAGAGAGGGTTCACAGAGAACATAGTCAGGAGCAATGCAGGTCTGACCGCAGTTCATGTACTTCCCCCAGGTGATGCGTCTACAGGGGAAAAACCCAGAATAGCCACAGAATTCAGTCTACTATTTAGTTGTCACACACATACTTTCGTGTTGTTTGAATGTTTTGCAACTAGCATGTATTCATAGACTTACTTGGCAATATTTATAGAAAATAAAAATGTTTTAAAAACCCATCTCTAAATCAGCTGACTGGGACTTAGAATGCATTTCCAACTGATGTAGAATACTCTAAGGAGCAGGGCAATTCTCACACCAGCTCATGGGAAATAGTACTTTATAAGTAGTGAAGCCCTGGCCTGCTACATGAAAAGAGAGAAACAGCATCCCAACACCCTCTTCCTCCTCCCATTCCAACCAAGAGGACATCTGGCATGACACGACTTCCATACAGACTCCACCTCTCCTGGTTGTAGCTTCAGGTCCTGCTGGCAAGGTGTCCAGGTAAACAGGTCATGAGCCCCTCCCCATCTTGGAAAGCTGTGCCCACGTATGGATCCAAGTCCATGACTGGAATGTTCATTAACTAAGAGTCCCATATTCTGGCAATTAGACTTCTACTAATGAAGCCAACCGAGACCCCTGCCTAGCTCCCTGTTCCTCCTCCTTGTTACCCCCAGCTCTGAAGGGGAGAGAAAGCCACACCACCCTGAGAACAATTAGTTCTGGGTTTGGGCAGTTCCTGGTAACTAAATCTGATTTAGCAGAGAGAACCTGACGCCTTTTATTTTCTAGTTCCCAGATGCGAGATGCTATTCTAAGTAATACTGGCTTTGTCAACAAAGGAGCTCAGTGAAGACATCACCGTAATACCTTTTCTGTTGGGGATTTAAAGATTTTATTAGGCACACACAAGACTTTGGATTACCTATTTCCTGGGTCATAAACCAGCAGAACAGTAAAATTTCTTGCCAGATCTATAATCTCAAGAATAGAAAGAACCTTTCCATAACTCATCAGAACCACCATCTCTTCTTGCAGTGGCACCAAGAAACAGTGAGAGCTCTGCTACCCTTGAGGACATCAACCACCAAAACTTAATGTCTCTTGGAGCAAGGAGGCAGAGGGTTCCCGTGCAAAGAGGACACGTCGACCTGTTAGGAAAAGCCTCCATTGTGCTGGGAAAGCCCCAGATAACCAGGGAGCCATCTCACCTGCAGGCGATGTCCAGGTCACAATCTTTGTCAATGTAACATGGACTCTTCCCTCCCAGTTCAAGAGTCACAGGGGTCAGATGCTTGGCAGCAGCTGCCATGACAATTTTTCCAACTCTGGTGCTTCCAGTATAGAAAATGGAATCAAATCGCTGCTTCAAAAGCTCCGTGGTTTCCTCCACACCACCGTTAACAACAACATACAAGTCCTTAGAGAAACAATCACATAAATATTTGCATTGCCAAATTAACCCAATTATCTAACATGAGCAGTTTCTTCAACATAAACATGTAACGTTCGGTAAAACCAAGAAAAGATGCGAGACTGGCCCCTGTGAGGATAGAAGAGGGAGCTGATGGAGGACAAGGGAAGAACAGTATGATGGCATCTGAGAACCATCAACCTACAGTGGAACTGACCAGCAAGTCCAGTATTTTCAACATGAGCTCAGCAAGGAAGACACAAAAGAGAAGAAAGCAAACGGTTGGATTTGACCAGGGAAATGTATGAGGTGGGGGCTGCATAAGTTTAGGGTTTGCGTGCGAAAATAGCTGCTATGAATGACCACAGGACAGACCCAACTGAATGTCTTAACCTGAACATTCTCTCTACATAATACAGCGTAGGGCTTAGCCCATGGTAGGAACCAAGTGACTGCTGAATGAATGGTATGCAAAGCAGAGTACATAAGAACACTCGCTTCTGAAGTCAGACCTGGACTGCATCTGTCGCTTACTAGCTTATGTGACCTTTGGCAAGCTACTGAACATCTCTGAACCTCAATTTCCTCATCTGTTATGTGGGAGAAGTCTCATACTTTAGGACTGAGTCCTTATACGCACTGTGCTATTATTAGCAGCTATTATGAGAGGGAATATCTTGAATAACAACATGAAAAGCAATGACAGAGAACAAATGGCAAGGAAGGAAGACTGAGGGAGGTACGTTCAAAAGATTCTGAGGTGCAGGCATGAAGTAAAAGTTGGTGTGTGAACCTCACGCTTCCTCACTTGGTCTGCTGCTAATTAGTCCTCAATCACTTCATAGTGATTGCCCAAATGTTTTAAGTTATAACATGCATATGGCTTAATCTCCAGAGCACATGTGGTTGGTTGGGCAACAAGCTAAATGAGGCAGGGTGGGCATTATTATCCCCAGCTGAACACAGATAATTAAGAATTTACCCCTGGTGAGGGGTAAAGCAATACCGTCAACCTCTATCTTCTGGTTCTAAATCCTACTCAATCCATGACATCTCACTGTCTTCATCATCTTTGGGAGCTGGGTAACCACATTGTTAGAACAAAATTTTCTGTGGGCTACCACAGCAGTGATTAAGACAACAAAGAACAGTATTATTCCAACGGCTGGAGCTGGCCTCTAGTTTATTATAAATTATTACAACTACAAGTGTATTTTAAAGGTGTCTTTCAATGAGAGTGAAATGAGGACTCCTTCCTACAGCCGTTCTATATAGAACACAGCAGTTCCATATAGAACTAATCAGTCCCAATTACATGGTGGCGTCATAAACTTCCTCCCAGGAGGGCATGAGAACCTCTGATTTGGAGAGAGATGAACCACCCTGTGGTTAAGGAGATCATTTTCTTTATTCAGCTTTGATACTGTTAAATACAGCACTTTCACCCTTTAACCCAAGTGACAGTCCACACTCCGGTTTAGGAGGCCATTTTCTTTCCATGGTTCCCATGCCACAAACATGCTCATTTTAGAAGTGTTTTTATATAGACATACCATTAAGACAAAAGAGGTTATCAGAACCCTACACAGTACCAGTTCCTCATTGAATAATTCACTAAATAGACATACCTAAAATCATATTAAATCAAAGGTTAAAGGTTAATCCAAAATGCCAAATGACAGAAGAGGATCTGTAAGTAGCCCCGGGTGTCTATGAAGCTATTGGCCCAAATGATTTGCGAAACCACAATCGCTGAGCTATTCCACAGTTTTGGAACTTAACTTCTTCTAGTCAGCCAATTCCTGAAGGCTTAAGGAAACTGCAAACAGATCCCCAGCCATCAACAGCATAGACTAGTAGAAAGGTCAAGTGTTTGTTCACAATAAACAGAAAGGCTGAAGATGGACAAGGCATTCTTACCTGGTCTAAATACTGGGGGAGGAGTTTAGCCAAGATCTTAGCTGAATTTTCACTTAGTTCAGAAGGCTTGATAATCACAGCGTTTCCTAAACAAAGCAAAAAGTAGGACAGCATTGTCTAATACTTAAATAAACTTTAACAGCTACCCAAACGGTGTTCCTGTGGGGAGTACAGACTAAGCACTCCCATTGCTTCTGCTGCTGTTCCTCATAATGAGGATAAGAGCTTGTCTCACGTTCTCTTGTTCAAATGATAACCACTTAAGTTATTATTTTCAGGTAACCAACAAGCTCCATCAGCCTCCCCCACTCCTCCATCTTTCCATCACTTTTCTCCCACTTGCATCCCTGGATTCTCCTCTCTGCCCTGGAATTACTCAGCAAAGTCAACAGAAAGCTGTTGATCTGCACAAGCGAGACATTAACTTCTTGGCATTTGCTACACATTACCCAAGCAAGCATTATTTCCACAGTCCTTATCTGAATCAAGAAGCTAGTCAGGCAGAACCAAGTGGTTCATCCAAGGCCAGAGCTGGCAACTGAAACTACATTAGAATATGGATGCCTGACTACAACACTTGAGTATGTCAACTCATGCCTTTACATCCTCACATGTTCATTTCCTGGGTGCTGTAAAAAAATGGTCACTATGCAAATCTCCCCTGGAGCCCATTTAAAAATATATTTATGAATTCTCAATACACTGCTAGTGTAAACCAAGGCAAACCATCAAAGCAAATGTATTTAATTAGCCATCATCTGAATTTACAAACAATATGACAGAATAAGACCCCCCTTAAAAGGGTACAGAGACATAAGCGGACACCAAACCTGCAGCAATGGCTCCTATCAGTGGCTGAATGGTGAGAGCAAAGGGGTAGTTCCAAGCTCCTATGATCAGTGCAACTCCCAGGGGCTCTGGTTGAATATAGGCCTCATCCAGCATGGTGAGAAGGTTCTTCTTGACTGGTTCAGCAGCAATCCATTCAGGAAGCTTCTCCAGCACGAGATCAATTTCCCCAAGAATGGTAACAATTTCATGACTGTATGCATTAAGTTCACTCTGTTATATGAGAATCACAGTTAACCTTTGCATGAGTATGACACACTCAGCCCTGAATGTCAAAAACTTCAGGTCAGGTATACCTGCAGTGGCAACTGGTATTATAAGACTAGACGGTTTGCCATTCAGATTCCTTTTGAGCCCTCCAAGCCCTCAATAAAGACTTACTAACTCCCTCTGTAATATATTCAATCCTGCTAAATCCTTTTTTTAAACTCCAAGTCATTTAAAAACAGCCTTAAACATTACCTCTTTCATGATGACTTACCTGACTAAAAATGGCCTGCTTTGATCACACTTTAAAAATCATAGCAATTATGCTTTTGACCTGTATCTTAATATTTTGCCCTTAATACAACAGTTTATAACTATATTCACATTTTATCTGTATATGTTTTGTTTCCCAACTAAATGTAAAACTCTCAGGGCAAGGAACTTATTATATTTCTTTAGTAATTCTATATGTGCACATATTCACACAAACATCTGATGCTTGTAGAATGAATGATTCAGACATTTTGAAATCTTAATCATCCCATCTTGTTTATTTGATATCGCAACACTTCTCCACCTAAAGTACTATAAAGGAAATTTTATAGTTGCCATTGTTACTACTACTGCTGATGTTACTACCCTTCAAAATAATCTTGGATTGGGAGGAAGTGAGGAGGAAGACTCGCAATGCCAGAGCAAGGTCTTGCTACTCCTGGAATAAAGATAAAGAGTAAAAACAAAATAATAATATTAGAAAATACAGGGGAATATATTTATACCCTAAACCTTGCTACTCAAAGCTTGGTTCAAAAACAGGCAGCGTGGTTATCACCTGGGAGCTCATTAGAAACAGGCTCACAGATCCCCTCCCAGACCTACTGAACTATAATTTACATTTTTAACAAGATCCCCAGGTGATTCGCCAGTTCACTGGAGTTTGAGCAGCACTGACCTAAAACGAAGTCATGGAAGAAAATTTAAGTGCAACGACACGCTACAAAAATAACCATAAACAAAGTTAAAAGACAAGGAATAGACTTGCAGAAAAATATCTTCAATATATTACGCTGACAAACGACTGAAATCCAAAATATACAAAGAATTCCTACGGGGAAAAGGTCATAAATGAAACAGAAAAGCAGGCAGAAACACAAAGGGCAATTCACAAGAGTAATTACAAAGGTCAGAAAATACATGCATTTCTATGTGTCTGCAAATATGCGTAACGGGCTGGCTCTAAGCAAGGTGGAAGGATCTGGAAAGTCAAGGGAAATTTTGCTTTATCTGTAGTGCTGGAGATAATAGTCCCACAGTGCTTGCGTAATCAAAAATAAAGAAAAAAAATGCAAAACCTCAGACGGAATGCGCTCCCCAAGTAGGGCAGCGGGAGACAGGTGTCCCGGCTCCTCCGGTCTCGCGCATACCTTGCACAAGTCCAAGGCGATGGCTCCTAAGATATCTTTCTCGCGCTCCAGCACCATCCTGCGGAGGGCCTCCAGCTGCTGCAGCCGGAACCTCAGAGGTCGTGACCGGCCGGACAGGAATGCGTTGCGAACCCGCTGGACTTCGTGCTCCATGACCTCGTCTTAAGGAGAAGGGGAAATCGGGGGATGAGGGGGGGAGCCGCGGTAGCGGGGGCGTGACGGACGCCGGTGCTGGCGGGCGCTGCCTCCCTCCCTTCTCCTCCCCTCCCGCAGGGTGGGCTCCCATGGCCGACCCAGAACCATACCTCTCGCTCAACAACTAACTCGCCCCGAAACGTCCTCTGCACCCCCGGAGTCCAACTACCGGAGAGCTGCCCAGCAGGGCCCGGCTCGACCCCGAGCTGCGCGCCTATTGGTCAGGGCGGGACGCGTGAGCTCTACAGCCAGACGCCGACCCCGCCCAGTCCCTGGATCGCACCACTAGGTGGGGTGCAGGGGATGTGGCAAGTTGGTGAGAGGAGTGCAAGAGTGGCTCTAGCTAGCACCGGGAACGAGGAGTCCGCGAGAAGTGGGATGAGGCGCGGAGGGCGAGCAGCAGAGACGCTGAAGAGAACCGGATGCAAGGCAGTAAGCGCCATGCTACCGGGACGGGAAGCGGCCCACGCAAACAAGCTCTCGAGAGGGGTTCTTCCTCCCTCCTCCATTTCGTAGCTATCATGTGACCCAGTGGACACCGGCAGCCTGGCGTCTCCAAACTCGCCGGGCGTCGTTGGCTGGGCCTCTGCGTGTGTGGAGAGTGGTTGCCGTCACCGAGCGCCACATCAGCGCCCCCAACCCTAAGCCCGCGAGGTGGAGTTGATGTGCCCACCGCCCTCCTCCTTGTCTCCAACCACTGCAGCCCCATCTCCTTCTCTCACTGTTAGCTGCCTGGGATTTCTGCAGCCGTGACGGATTTCAAGAACTCCTCTTGCTGAGGGCAGGAAGTCAGGACTTCATCTCCTGTTGTGCTAGCTTGGCGATCGTTTTCAGCAGTGTGCGAACGTCATCATTGCCCAGCCTTTAATAAAACGTTCTCGCTGGGCTGCAAGTCACCCGCTAGCTACTTAGCTACCGTCCCATTTTCTCCCCATCTCTTCATAGAAGTCCTCCGAAGAGGGAACCCACTACCCTACTACAGTAAGGGAGATTTCCCTCCCTACTTCCTAGTTGCCAAACCCACTGAGGTAATTCTCAGTTCTCATTTTATTCTACTCAGTAACAGCTGGCACGACAATCACTGATTACCACCTTCTGGAGACAGTTCCTTCGCTTGTTTTTCATCACCGTGCACACTTCTGGTTTTCTCTTTACCTCCCTGACTGAGTCCTCTGGGTTTTCCTCTGCTGGACTGTTCTCCCCTCCCAGACCTTTAAGTATTTAGGTGCCCTAGGGCTCAGTCCTTGGACCGCTTCTCTTGTCAGTCACCCCCCTCATCTAATCCCATGGATGGTAGTCAGAGAAGGCTTTAAATTCTACCTCTAGGCCCACCCTGTCCTCTGAATTCCAAAGGGTGTATGTTCAACTACATCTTATTCTACTACATCTACTTAGTCAACTACATCTTATTCAACTACATCTATATTTGAACTTATAATAGGCATCTTAAATTTAACTTGAAATAGAACTTTTGAAATATCCTCACCCACCAAACACATACGATGTACACCTCCTCTAGTGTTCCAATCTCAATAAATACAACTTAAGGGTTTCCATATGACCCACGCCTGTAGTCAAGAGTATCAAATCTTCCTACCAAAGTGATTGACTCAGGAATGTGCGCACTATGCAAGCCTGCCTATTCAGCCCTCCCTGGAACTTCTGGTAGAACTATCATGAAAGAGACATGCTTTTCTCATGGGCTCACTGGTTATGTGGATGGTGTAATCCTGGAGCCCCCTAAGCTAACTTGTTGGCACTTGGCAAGAAATGACTTACTGAGAATACAGCAGAGCTCAGAGGCAGTGTCTTCATAAGGTTATTTGTATCCAGTTAAGACTTGAAGCTAACAGTACATCTGTGAAGTACACCTTCACAGTTCCATAAGCCAATAAATTGCCAAATATTAGGGGCACAAAGCTTGAATTGGATTTTTGCAACTTGGTACCAAAAGAGACTTGATTATTATAGAGACTTGCCACATTTCACTTAATTCTGTTGTCCACATCCTCAGATTAATTCCACTATAGGGTAAAAGAAGTTAAAAGATCTTAAAACTGTGAAAACATATGTAAGCAGTCAATATACTCCTTTCAGGGGAGCATAAGTTATAAGCAAATCATCCAACTTTCTAGGAAACCAAATTAGGGCCAGCAGGAAGACAGAAGTCCTGGGCATACATTCACTTCAGTGCACCTGAAGTTGAGAGAATTAAGGGTGTCTATTTCACCCTTGCTTTTAAGAAAGCCTTCCCTTAGGGGCCGGCCAAGTGGCTCAGTTGGTTAGAGTGCAAGCTCTGAGCAGCAGGGTCGCCGGTTCGATTCCCATATGGGCCAGTGAGCTGCACCCGAGCTGAGCTGCTGCTGAGCTGGTGAGAGCATGTGCTCTTAACAAGGTTGCCAGTTCAACTCCCACTGGGATGGTGGGCTGTGCCCCCGTCCCTGCAACTAAGATTGAACACAGCACCTTGAGCTGAGCAGCCATGAGTTGCTGATGGGTGGCCGCAAGGCTCAGTGTGCAATAAGGTTGATGGTTCGACTCCCTCGTGGGATGGTGGACTATGCCACCCCCACCCCCACAACGAGATTGAAAGCAGCGACTGAACTTGGAGCTGATCTTGCACCCCCCACAACTAAGATCAAAGGACAACAACTTGACTTGGAGCTGATGGGTCCTGGAAAAACACAATGTTTTCCTTCCCCAACTCCCCAACACTATTCTCCTTCCCAATTCCCCAATAAAAAAAATCTAAAAAACAAGAAAGAAAGAAAATGTTCCCTGCTGACAACTGAGGAAATCCAATGTCTAAACCTTACACCATTTTTGGGGGAATAAACATTACATTTTTACTGGATATGAAATTAATACAAAACAGTGCATGAATTATAAATATAACAATATATTAATACAAAATTAACCTATCTACGTATCTTTCATCCAGAACATTACCAGCATCCCTCTTCTACTCCTACCAAATCACTACTCCAGAATTTCTGGGTAAAAGTAAATAAATGTTTAACATGTTTAACTTTAGTAGACAAATAATTTTCCAACATACTTGCATTAATTTATATTCCCCACCAGCAAATATATGACAGCCCACTGTGATTTTAATTTGCAATTCCCTGATGACTAATAATGGTGGTCACCTTTTCCTTTGTTTATTGGCTATTTGCATATATTTCTACTTCAGGGAATAACAGATTTTATGAAAGGTGATTAAGACAAGAAACCTATTAAAGCTTCAGATTGCCACGGACACCTGTCCTCTTACCACACTCTTCTTCAGCAAATACATGCCTGATACAGCTGTTTGTGTCCACAGATGAGTAATAGTCAGAAAAGAACAAACATAGAACCCATGCATAGATACCACACACATAGATACAAATACCTTTAAGGAAGAGGAGATAAAAATCTCATAAGAAAAAGCACCCAGATGTATAATTCTCACAATTTCTAGAGATATTGAAACATAATCTTGGGGGGGGGGGGAAGAAAAAGCTCAAAGAAATGCTATAAGAGATTAAAGAATAGATGACAAGACAATAGGAGAGGATAAACAAGTAATTAAAACTCAGGAAAGAAATGGAAGAAAAAAAGAACACTTTAATGGAGATGAAAGCCAGTTAGCAATAACACAAGGTAGGGTAAAAAAGAGATATAAAAAGAAGTTTGACAAAATTACATAAAATGAAATGGAGACAAATACAGCATGATTCCACTTACATGAGATACCTTTGTTAGATAGATCAAGGGTCTCAAGGTTTGGGTGGTTCTTACTAAATGCTATTCTTGCTAAATGTTAAAATGTAGCACAGTATTTTTTAAATTAGCTTCAGGTGTACAAAACAATGTAATAGACATTTACACCCCTCACAAAGTGATAACCCCTCTCCCTCAATCTACTACCCCTCTGACATTATATATAGCTGTTACAATTCCATTGACTCTATTCCCTATGCTGTCTGTACTCCACATCCTGTGACTATATATACATTAAATTATAATTGACATTCATTATTATTCAGCTCAGGTGTACACTGCAGTGGTCAGGCATTTACAGCATCCATGAAGTGGTCTCTCTAATAAGACAAGTGTCCATTGGATACCCTACAAAATCTTTGCAACATTATTGATTATATTCCCCAAACTGTCTTTCATATCCCTGTGGCAATCTTGTGGTTACCAATTTGTGCTTTCTAATCCCCTCACCTTCTCCCTATGTTTGTTGCAGCACTATTCACAATAGCCAAGACATGGAAACAACCAAAATGCCCACCAGATGACTGGATTAAGAAATTGTGGTACATTTATACAATGGAGTATTACTTGGCCATAAAGAAGAATGGAATCTTACCATTTGCAACAGAATGGCCAGGCCTAGAGAAGATTATGCTAAATGAAATAAGTCAGATGGAGAAAGACAAATACCATATTATCTCACTTCTATGTGGAATCTAAAGAATAGAATAAATGTAGCACAGCATTTTGCAGATGCAGTTGAAAACAGAATGAGCTTGACAGGAACTCAACAGGATACCTGTAGCCAACTGCAATGAAGAAATCATTATGTAATTACCAAATGTGTATATAAGCAATGGCTAAGCCTCCCTCAGGAGAGACAGAGCTTTGGATGTGAATCCCCTATGTCCTTTACTTGCTACTACAATTAAATAAAACTATCTAATGACAACCATGTCTCGTTCTTGAATAAAGCACCCTAGACAGTGAACCCCTTGAGTTCCATAACACCTAGAGTGGTCAAATTCATAAAGACAGAAATAGAATGGTGGTTATCAAGGACTGAAAGGGAGTGGTGGTAAATGGGAAGTTACTGTTTAATGGGTACACAGTTTCCATTTGGAATTATGAAAGCGTTCTAGAGATAGATGCTGGTGAATGCACTTAATGCCACTGAATTGTACATTTTAAATAGTAAATTTATGTTATGTACATTTTACCACAATTTAAAAAATGAAATTGGAGGGGAAAAGATACAAAAGTGATTCAAAAACGATGAAAGATTCTTCAACATACATAAAAAACTGACAGCTAACATCATACTCAATGGTGAAAGAAAGCTTTTCCCCTAATACCAAGAACAAGGCAAGGATGTCTACTTTTGTTACTTCTATTCAACATAGTATTGGAAGTTGAAGACAGAGCAATTAGGCAAGAAAAAGAAATAAAAGGCATTCTAACTGGAAGGGAAGAAGTAA